GTGTGTGTGTGTGTGTGTGTGTGTGTGTGTGTGTGTGTATGTATGGACATGTATGTGTGTGTGTGTGTGTGTGTGTGTGTGTGTGTGTGTGTATGGACTTGTATGATGTGTGTGTGTTTTCATTTCGCTGCATTCATGTTTTTTTGTGCTTGTGTGTGAGATCAGTAAGATTTAGATATAGATGAGAAAGGGAGAAAAAGGGATTTTGTCCATAGATAATATATACTTGACACAGGATACTTGATCACTAGATATGATATGTACAGGTTGTGTCAATTCTTTGACTTGCATAGTTAGTACATGTAGATGTTTATGCCCTTTTTGGGGGGAGAGGGGGGAGTGAAATATGTGTCCTCAGATAATTCTCTAGGAAAGAATCTATATTCATATTTTTTTATGAAGTTGGAAGCTGTTTATTCATTTTTGGTATGTTGGAAGTCTTAGTAAAAAGATCTTTGACTTCTTCTTTCATAATTTGATTTGCTTTATGAACATTTTTGAACTTTCCTTGAAATAAAATGAACTTTAAATAAAGTTTCAAGTTTTGTGTTTCAATGTGACTTCCTCATGATTATTCGTCAAAATAATAAAATTGAAATTTTGGCAAATTCTTTTTTGAATTTTTGTTTTTTAGCCCAACTCCTTTTTTTAAAGCCTTTATAATAACACATTTTCGTGTGAATTTTACTAAGAAACGTTGATTAAAGGCACAATCTATGTAAATTTTCAGTTTTCAAAGACTCTCAAGCTTTTGAAGTTACCAACTTTGGCGATCACTTTCTCGCTAATTTAACCTAAAAAGCCAGGTGACCCCCCTTCTTCAATCACAAATATCTTGACTTCTGTTCAAGATAGATGGATATTTTTTTCATCGAAAACAAGGCAAATGAACAGGCTTTATGATGATACCAATTACGCCACATGCCCAAAAACTGACGAGCGCCTGAAACAGATGGGGCATATCCTGAATGGATGTTTTATTACAGTCGATAGACCCTACAACATTAGTAAAGTGTCTTTCCCAAGGATACAACAGTGGGTTACTATTGCAAGTTCTGCTTAACCTTACCACCTGTTGTTGGTACTACATATTTGTGTTCCGACGTGGTGGTATCAGGTGCTCATGAATTTTTGGGCATGTTGAGTTATTTATATCATCTTAAAAGCCTGTTCATTTGTCTATCTTTCGATGAAAAAATTACCTATCTATCTTGAATAGAAGTTGAGATATTTGTGATTGAACTAGGTGAAGTCTTCTGGTTTCAGATGTAAAGTTAGATTAAAAATGTCCACCAAAGTTTGGTGATTTCCATAGCTTGAGAGTGAGAGTCCTTTGAACTGGAAAATTTAAATTATTTGTGCCTTTAATTGATGGTTTTCAGTAAAATCCTCTCAAAAATGTGTTCTCAAATGGACATAAAAAGAAAATTCGAAAAAATTTCCCATCAGCCAAAACCCCCACTAATATCTTTGATTTTATTATTTTGACGGGCACCTGATTTCACCACAATGCCTCACATTTGCATTTTGAAAAATATCTTCTTTTGTGGTATAGCCTTTTTTCGCAATTTTGAGTTAAAAGGAAAATTAAAGGACAGGGTTAGTGTGTTGTATCTCATGTCAGAATGGAGTCTTTTTCAAAGAACAGTTTCCAAGTACTGTTGGATCTTATTTGGAACTGAGAAATGTAGATCTAACTGCTGTATGCCTACTGTTCATTCTTGGTTATTTGATTGGTGAAAATATCTCACTCCTCACTCTCTACCCCGAGGGGCAGTGCCTCTGACTAATGAAGTGTCTTTAGACCATTCCCAAAGGGGGGACATTTCTCGTTCATGCACTGTAGAATTGTAAATGCGCTGATTCACCAATGTCACGCTTATAACTGTGCCTGATCTACAACAGGGTACTGCTGCTTTTTCTTTCCTAATCCTTACTATTGTCATTTTCCTCTATTTCTTTTGTATGTTTGTCACACTCTTGTGACCCTCTATTTCCGGGGTGCCTTATTGATAGTCGAGGCAGACTTTGTACTGTTGAAGCTAGAGAGGTGAGCAGAGTAAGTCTGATTCCCTGAAAGGACTTCTCTGTTGACATCCACCCTTTGGCACTCATATGACCTTATTAGGTTGCGGGTGCCGTAAAACCTCTACTAAAACTAAACTAAACTTAAACTAAAACTCCTCACTCTTAGTTCATGACTCCAGAAACAAAAGCCACCACTGAATGTTGACGGTAACTTTTGTGGACATGTATAATTATACAGAACATTTATAGCAGATGACAGTTTTACATACTCAACAAAAGGCCATTGTTACCGACGTCTGTGATGCAGTGGTTAGGTGCTTCGTTGTCGTACACAGGGGACTAGAGTTTGATTCTCATGTTGGGAGGATTTTTATCGAGTATCTTGGTCTTTCTCTTACGATGAATCTTCATGCTTAGTCTATGTTGGGCCTGACAGGCAGGTCAGAAGCCCACCTTCTAATGATCTAAATTGTATCAATGGGTGTGTGCTGAAATTGCTAGTTTGCTTCACTGCTGATGTTTGCCTGCTCCAGGCAATGATGATCATACAACGTCTTATAACAACACTACAAGTTGTTACTACAAGGCATACAACAACATGGTCCAAAATCCCTACGTTCCCCATAAGTATGCAGTTTATATTGACTTCATTGTATCATCCTCTTGAGCAAAATTGTTGTGGGTGTCTAAAAAATGTAAGGTATCAAAAGACATTTTTGACGATGTGGTTAGCCAGTGCACATAACTGGCGACTGACCAAAGTGCAAAGTACTAGACAACATGACCTGATCTTGGCTATCTCATGTACTTGCAGAGGGGACAGTGAAATCTCATTCCTGAATAGTTTGTTTTCATTATATTTGTCAGAAAGTACACATAGTATGCAATCGTTGAGTTTTTATTTCTTTACAGATAATAATAATAATAATCACATTTACAGCATGTTCTATGTGCTTTACAACTATTATTACACCAGTAGACCCTAGAATACCCAGAAACATTCGCAGGAATCAAGCAGTGCAAGCTACGGATTACATTATCCCATTTCTTCAGTGATATCTCTTACAAAAATAAAAATAGTAAAATGTGTATAAGTTATGAATAAGAAAAAATAAAGGTGCGTGTAACGGGAACATAAAAGTAAAGATAGGCTATGGGAAAAGGTAACCTGAGTAAATATATATAATGTGGATTAAGTAAAAGAAAGGTGCATAGCATTTCACTAAAACCATGCTTTATAAACTCATAAGAGTCATATATAAGTTCTTGCTTTAGAGGCTTCTTTCACTCTACAACTATACGTAGAGCAGAAAGTGATCAAAATGTAAAATATGTTTGAGATGGAGAAGGCTTTAGTTTTTACTTGATATCTGTGGAATAGTCCTTTATCGTATTTGACATATGTATGTACTTGTAGCCCTACAGGCTAACCTATTCTTACGATTTCCTTTCCTGTCCAATTGAATCACCTGTACAACTGACCATTTCCCACCCCCACCCTCCCCCATCCTCCTGGTGGATTTTTTTTTTCTATATCATACAAACATTGTTTTAGAGGATCATCTATCTAAAATGATCACTTTTTTCCTCGACTGTCAACAATGGCTGGTCATCTGGGATAGGTTTGATTGGTTTTTCTTCTTCATTGATATGAAAATATGCACACTTGGCTTACGGATAGAGTTAACGAAAAGAAAAAAATAATTGCATGAAGGTTAAATTTCAAGCTATACCTACCCCCTTCCCCCCAGCAAAAGATAGAATAAAAGCAAGAACACAACAAACGCAATTTCTTGCTAATGCTATCCTAGCTATTTATAATGCAAACCTCTCCACCTTAACTTTAAGAATAACAACAAAGTGAGAAACATTCCTGACATGCACTGGGATTGCAAAAAACAAACGAAAGCCCACCAACATGAGACGGTGACTCAAAAAGAAAAATTGTAAAGCAATTCACAATCAGATTACAGCAATAGACCATTATGAACCGTTCAGGAGTACAAGCTAATTTAATACATATGTGTCAGTGATCCAGTTTGCCGAACTCCGGGTACAACGAAGGCCGAAACAGAAAATAACTTCTTGGGTAGAGAGCTCACGTATTGTTAGCAACGCGCAGAACCGGAAACGGTACTTGCCTTGGTAACGACGCCATGTCCTACGAGGGTTAAAACTCTTATGAGGGCATTGTTTTCTTTTGTGACATTATCATGAATTGAGTGATTACTTGCAAAGAAAAGTGAGTATAACATCCTTTTTTTTGTGACATAGTTATAATGTATTGAGATTTGAGTGAATGCCAATCGCAGGTAATATAGATTTGTAGATCGTAGTAGTATCCGTGCTTTACTTTGTTGTAGTATTGCATTGCAGTTAAATTGTAGTTTGTATTTTAGTTGTAATTCAATAAACTAATAAAAATTTACTTTGAATAAATCTAGATCTAACAAGTTTAAATAAATTTCGACACCTCAAGAGTTTTTATAATCGACCTTTTTTTTAAACCTTGTATTCCAGATCTTAAGAGACTTGTTGACATTAAATTTTAAATGAGCTTTTGCAGTTATAGTTATGCAAAGTTAAATTAATGTTTCCTAAATTAATCTTTTACTTACGGGTGGAGTTGGTCTTCTTAGAAAATAATAATTCTAAAGTGCAGTTTTTGTACTTTTTTCTGTATTTTTTTTTGCCACCGCCTCAACGTTTTTACTTAAGACTAGTTTGTCAGCAATGTTGGCTCAGTTATCTAGGCTGGGAAATATAGGCCTATATTATTTTATTCATCATCATAACTCTGCTTTAGAGTCAATCGAAAGAGAGCAAGGACAAAATAGCATTAGTCACTATTTCCAATTTTTTCTTTTGTCTGTTTTGATATATTGTTTGGCTTAAATTGTTCCATTTTGTCCATCAGTATCAATTTTATCAGAAATGGCAGTGAGACTGTATAGTCTCATATTTATAGTATGGTTGTACATAGAAAGAATGGAAGTAGGCCTAGTTCATATGAACATGTAAAAGAAAGTCACTAGCACTAGTCTAAAGTATTTTTCGTGTGACTAATAGAGTTTTCTTCTGAGGTTTTCAAATGGATTAAGAAAAACACTCCATTGAAAAGTATTCTAGAGTTAAAGTTCAATATGCTTGAATAATGCATAGCCTACAGTAGATATACTCTCTGAATAAATTTTCCTGTATGATTCAATTCCTCCAGTCATGGCTACTCGACCACTGAGAAGTTCTCACAGCCGGAGTTTTTCGGCAAATCGTACTAGGATCAATACATCAGAGACTCCCGTTCCGAGAGACAATGCATACCCAGAGATCAAGCAGAGGGGTTTTTACTCTGATGTAGTCACCCAGCAAGCCAACGAAGATGGCATTGAAGTAAGTTTTGGTAGTAGAACACAAACATGCTTATTTCAATTTTATGCTCAATGTTATTACGCATTACCACTATTCATTATTAATGTTTTTCTGATTGATATAAGTTTTTTTTATACTACCGTTGTTGTTTTTTTCACAGTCACCATTTGTTTAAGCTAGAGACTGATTTTAGACCTTCACTGTTCCGTTTCTTTAAACTTTGCGGTCGTACAGTTGGCAGTATAAAATATCCCATCTGGTAACCCAGCCAGGAGAGTGACTACAATGGACTTCTCTGGCCTGTCACAGAATTGTGTCAAGGGACGGGAACGGACAATTTTCACTGTTGCATTATTGCGGCTAGTGACCGCAAAGTGTTAAGGATGGGTATTTTTGTTGCACCACATTTTCATATATAAAAAAAAATCACATATCACATTTTATTTTTCAAGTCGATGAATTTTGAAGTTTCCAATACACTGCTTCTCTCCCTTCACAATACTTTTTCTTATGTGCATCTCATTTCATTTTGCAAACCTTTTGAGTTTATACAGTCATTGCAATCATGAATAGTTGCTTGCTGATTCAATGTCTCACTGTGTTTCACCAAAACCTTTGTTGTTCACCTATCTGTTATCACCTGATTGTGATTTTGTAGACTGTGCTGGTTGGACCTGAGACTGCCCATGACACACTCTGGAATGTGTCAAAGGAAAAACACACTCCACTGGGTAATTGAAACTTTTATTTTTTTAAAAAGTTTTACAACTTTAGCACTATTATTTGCAGAAGGTTCTGAAACTTTTCACTTGAGGTATTTATTATGTAAATAATAATCATGTCTACTTTGGTAGTTGAGCATGTTTTCATGAGGGATACAAACTAAGATTTATTTCAATGATAATTTTCTGAGAATCTAAAACTGAAATATTAATTTCGCTTGGTAATGGATAATAAAAGCGAATGAAGAGAAGATAATTACTTGACACATTTAAGTTGAATTATCACTTTTCACCATCACTACCTTCATCACCATCACCATGCCCACCTTCTTCATCATCATCATCATCATTATCATCATTATCATCATCATCCTCATCATCACCATCATCATCGTCATCATCGTCATCATCATCATCATCATCATCATCATCATCATCTTCACCATCTCTACGTTCATACAATGCTTACTCTTTGTTTTCCTATTTCAGTCAGCACTTTTCTGGTGTCACCTGATGAGGTGGAAGCTCAGTTACAACAGCAAACATATGGCCCCAGCACTCAGGATCTCACCATATCTGTATGTTTTTATAAATTATAGGAAAAAAATACTGGCAGTTGTGCTTTCAGTCTATTTCTTTGAGTATCTTACTCTGTCTTCTGGGATGTTGTACCACTCAGCCTGCGTTGACTTTGAGAAGCAGAGTCGTAACTACCCACCTCCTAAATGATCCTAATTGTGTAGATGTGGTTGTTAAACACATACAGTCATATCAAAATTATTCAAATTTTCTTATACAGATGTTTGAATACCGGTATTTGAAGTTTTAATCACATTATTTCAAATGATTTTTCCTTTCTTTTTTTAGGGGGATTAGGACATTTCATTATTTTCATTTTGTTAAACGTAAGGGTAGCATTAACAGAAGCTGTCTACACTGATTGTCTGTCTCAATGCCATTATACCAATATTGTGTGCTTGCAAAATGAATGAAATGTATGTAACTTTATTTTTCTATCTTTCTCTTTTTCAGGACTTCAATTCACAATCTTTCAAGCCCAAAGTTCAGCTTCCCTTCTTTACAAAACCAGGACAACATCCAAGAAAGATTGAAATTGAAAGGTACATATTGAAATATTTGTTTTAATCTGATTGGTGACATGACCTTTATAAGTTTATAAAACTGTTATCATTGAACTAAGTAAAAATGAGAGACAACTATAGAGAGCTTAGGTTATAATGTATTATTTTCTTCAGTATTGTTTGGCTTTCGGGAACAATAGCACATTTTTCTTTCAATATTTAGGAATTAAACTTGGTAAAATAAGTGTTTTATTTATTGTTACTCTGTTGAAAAAAAAAAAAAGAACTCAACAAAGTATGTGTTTACATTTTGTTACTGTTGCCCAAAAAATAATGCAAATGATTTTTGGCTCACACTACAGAACGGGTTAAACAGTGATTTATTGTTCCTTGGGCAGCAATAATATACTTCTCATTTTTTCATATATGAATACTCAATTGAGTGCATACTCAATACACACTTTTGTCAATCCCCACCAGACGTCTGAGGCTGTACAAAAGTCTGTCATTGGATGAGCTCTTGGCAGATAAAGGGATCAAAACTGAATTGTTGATGCCAAAACAGCAGCCAGATCTTACTGTACTGCTGAACAGAGATGAAAATGACCCTGCACCGTTCCCAGCCTATCTTCCTCTTCACATCTTTGACGATGATGAGTTTGATTGCCGCACTGCAGAGGAATGGATTAACATGGGTAGAGAGAATGGTTCTCGCTTCCCTGTGCCAGGCATTGCTCTTTTGCCTAAGGAGGAGGAAGACAGAATGAGTAAGGAAATGCTTTTTTACTGCTTCACTTAACTACACTGATCCCATATTGTGTCTGAACATTAGGGACACGCAGATGACCTCAGAGTCAGATCTCTACATTCTTTTTGTTTTGTTAGATTTTTTTCTATCAGGCTAAGTGGTTTAAAAAAAATTTAATTGTTCTCTTTCCTGCTGTTCAAGAGGCTTTGTATTTGGAAACTCCTCAGACCTTATGAATGTATGAATGTTTTAAATATTAAAGAGAGGCATGACCATTATACAAACTATTTTGAAATGCTAAGAACACTTTGGAAATGAATCAATGAGAACTGTCAGAATTTAGCCGCGGCTAATTATTTCTGGAAGTAACAAACAATATCAAGGGTTCAGTCATCTCTAATTTGTTTTGTCTGGATGTTAATGATCTGTATAATATTTGTGAGTCTCAGGAAGCTAAGATTTCCTTAATTTTGCCATTGCAGAGGACCCAACTGACCCAAGCATCGTGTATGACTGGTTTGAGGTGGGAATTCTTGATTTTGACCTCAGCAGCAAACAGTTCTTAGTGCAACGTACCAGCAGTCAAGGTCGCATCGTTGACACGGAGGGGAACACGGTCGTCAATGGAGGAGTCCGAGAGAACGGACAGCGTGTCGCTGCTCATGGACAGTGGTGGATTCCCCGCATCCGGCTCATGTTCAGGGCCGAGGATCCTCGCACATTTGCTGAGCGTATCAAGTGTGCCTTTGAGTCCCGCAAAGTTTGTGAGGCAGAGTTGCGCTACAACTTGTACATTGACTGTATGCCGATGGATGGTGTTGGTGAACTTGACCAGGCCTCTCTGAAGAGAATGATTGAGTGGGCGCAGTCTTCGCCCGGCATTGACAAAAGCAAAAAGTAAGTAGCTTTTTTGTTCTTTTTGCTAATACGATATTTGAATAAAAGTTTGAAGGTACCGTAACCCTATCAGACTTTATTATCTAAATTAAAAAATTCTTACTTAGTACATGTATTTGAATTTTTGTACTGGCTTGAGATTTGAAAATGATATTTAAGTATGTCTCTGAATGACAAATTGTAATAGTTATATGATCCAAAAATATTTTAAAGTAGAATCTATAATGTTTTATTTCCAACTATTTAATTACTAATTTTCTAAACCTTATTGGACTGAGGTGTGTGTTGACACTACATTCTTTGTACTCTTTCTTGAAGGTAAAACAGTAATTATTCTCTCTTTATTTATTCCTTTCAGCCTGGAAGACTACACCCAAGTCTTAGAAAAGGAGGTGAACATTGACTTCTGTCGCTCCATGAACCGCATCATCTTTGAGAAGATCGTGGACGATGACCCAGAGACTTTTGCGTTTGTCTCTGTACCACCCAGTAATGAGAAGGAAGTCCCAGACACAGGTGAAATTTTTTTTTCTGTTGTGTTTTAAGTACTTATGCTAACAGTATTGACTGAGGTATGATGATTTGTTTACTTACTTACTACCCATTACGCCATCTGGCGTTTAGGGCAGCAACAAAGGATCTCCTGCTCTGTCTGCTTTGGACCATCTTGGTCAGCGCTCCCCACGAATGATTCCAAGACTTCATTTTAGACTCTACTGTGCGTCTCCAGGTCACTTTGGGTCTGCCCCTTTTGCGACGTCCTTCGGGTGTCCAGTGGAGGGTAGTCTTCACAACAGAGTCTGGTTCTCTTCTCAGAACATGTCCAATTTGTTTACTAGTGTGATTAAAAAGACCCTGTCTGCTGGTTTCTTAGAGTGAGGTTCAGGTTTTGTGTCTCCACAATGACCAGTTCTGTGTCAGTTTGACTCCTACTTTTAAAGGAATGGAATTTAATTGGAAGAGAGTGTAGAACAACAAACTTTGCTGAGACAATGTGTCCATCTCAGCCATGGTTGACCCTGACAGGCACGACCAAAGCCCGCCTTCTAAATACTGAAAATTTTGTTCATAGGGGTGTTAGAAAGGACAAAACAAACAACAAAAAGACTCAAAAAGAACAAAGGATACAAATTGCTCATACTAAATTTCTTTTCTGACTCATCACCTCTCTGTTTTGTACTCAGTGTCACAAGATGTGATGTAAGTTTTAAATTTTGTCCTGAACAAATTTCCAAATCCATGGATCCTACTTCGTACAGGTAAATAAGATTTTGAAATTCAATAATGACACAGTTCCTTCAATTCATATAGGAGTTAATCTGGGCTTGTGTGGTCTGCTTCCTTTATTTTCTTTTTAGTACGCCTATTATTATCATGTTTTAGTGTCTTACAGCTCAACACTTCATGGAGATTAGTTTTCCTTTTTTTGAGTTTAAGTTTATATCAAAAGTAGTTCTATCATTAATTTACTTTATAAGATTTATCACATTTCCCTTAGTTTTTTTGTTCTCCCATTCAGTTTGTATTACAAAATGTTCAATCATTAATTTATTTTATTAAATCTATCATGTTCCTGTTTTGTTCCTCTCAGGCTGCAGTCCAGATGTCCCGGAGTATCTGTTTGATGAGCAGTATGACAGCTTTGCCTTCAACTCACTCCTGACACTCCCTGAGAGCATCCAGGCTATGGGCAAAGTGCGCACCGAGTGCAACCGTGTGAGCTGTATGAGTCTCTTCCATATCCCCACAGCCAAACCCATGAGGCTGGAGGAATTTGAGCAGACGCAGTCACAGGCCACAGCAATGGTATGAAATGCCCCCCTCCTCCCTCCTCCCCCCTCCCCCTGCCTCCCTCCCACCCCCACCTCTTCTTTCAACCCTCTATACATGTACTAGAACAAAATGATTATTTACTTACTTAGCAGTTGAGATATGGACCATGTCCTCCAACCTTCTCTTATCTTACTTTTACTTTTATCCGCCGCTTATACCCTTTTGGGTGTCGCGGGAAGAAAGAGACGTCTCTCTGTCGCCAGCCATAGAGCTTGGGTCAGGGGGATGCCGTGGGTGTTTAATGTTTCCCTGACTCCATCTATCCAGGTCTTTCTCGGTCGCCCTCTAGCCTTGTTGCCATCGAATTTTTGGAGGTAGGCATGTTGTGCTGGATGGTATGTTGGTAATCGTAGGAGGTGCCCGAACCATTTGATTCTTTGGTGTTGGATGTGATGCATGACATCATTTGTGCCTACCATTTCTCGGATTTAAGAGATCTTCTCTTATCAACAACCTAATAAAGGCTCAAACTATAACTCAGAAATGTCGTTGTGAAGCATCACCAACCGTATCGACAAGCAAAAACTTACCTAATTTTGTCGTTCTCCGTGCAGGTGAGCCAGAACTTGAAAGATAGCTGGATTATCTCCCTGAGAGCTAACATTCGCTCCCCTCTGCGTGATGTGGGTAAGGGCTGGTTCAACATCCATGAGACCAACTGGGAGGTCTACCAGATCTCCAAACTGAAGAAGTTCATGGAGACTGTCAAGTTCATCATGCAAGTGAGTATTTTCATCTTTTACAACTTCAATTTGCTTTCTTGCTTTTTTTCTTTTATCGTCTGTTTGCGAAGGGAAGGAAGTTTCAGCGTTTCATGTTTGGAGCTGGGGACATTGTTGGTAACTTCTTTTGTTTTGTTTTTCCATTACTTATGTCTGTCCTCTTGTTTTTTCTCAGCTTAAAAGGACCACATAGTGTTACAGTGGCAATGATAGTCTAGTGGTTAAGCTACTGGATTCGTAATCATAGAATTGGGGGTTCACAGGATTGAGGCTTAGCCTGGCTCAATTTTGTTTCCTTTGGAAAAGCACTTTACATGAATTTTTATCAATTTACCCACGTAGGAATGGGTATCTGGCTATAGATATGGAACGATCTTCTCAGTTTTTAAGTGTTTGGGTGATTAATAGGCTGCTCATACTGTATATTTCCCAGGATGCTGGAATGTTTCTGAGTAATTTAGGGTCTGCTGTTCATATAATTCACTCTAGTTTATAAGTCTCTCTCTGTATATTCTATTTACTCTTGTTTTCTATATTTATCTCTCTGATTTCATGTAATTTACTGTGTTTCCCAGGACTCCATGAGGTTTCTTGTCCAAGATTCTCTGGTGAACTTCACTCAAATGGTGGTGGATGCTTGTCATTCCACCATGGAGCTAGAGGAGGACTACAAGTGGGGCTCTGATCTCCTCTCCAGTACCTTCAAGTAAGTGTGGCTAGATTGTGTGTGTGTGTGCGTGTGTGTGTATGTGTATGTGTGTGTGTGTGTGTGTGTGTGTGTGTGTGTGTGTGTGTGTGTGTGTGTGAGTATGTGTAGTGCACATGTAGTCAGAGAATAAGTGTTAGAAAAAGAAATAAATAAATTCAAAGAGAGAGTGAGAAATAGTGTGACAGAGACAGAGAGAAAGAGAGAGAGAAAGAGAGAGAAAGAGAGAGTCAGAGCCAGAGAAAGAGATAAAGAGAGAGAGAGAGAGAGAGAGAGAGAGAAAGAGAGAGAGAGAGGGGGAGAGAGAGAGAGAGAGAATTACGTGAATAGAAGCAAGTATGCTTGAAATACTTGCAAGGACATTTATTAGGCTACATTGTTATAACTGCGGGTTTGAAACATTTTTTTGTCAGGCCCAGGAAGAACGCCCTGTTCTTGATAGATTTGGTGATGGACAAAGATGGCGTCCACTTCAGCACTAGTTTGCCCAGCTTTGAAGGCACTCTGGTCTCACTGTTTGACAAAGGCATCCAGGCCACTCAGAATGTGCCCCAACTGGAGAAGGTCAGTCTAATGTTTTTTGCTTTACTACTGTTCTGCTTGATTATTCTTAACCTAATCTAATTTTTATGATACTTTACATCTCAAGATACCAGCGTTTGTGGTGTAGTTGTTTGGTGCTTCACAAAATTTTTTATCTAGCGTTGGTCTTGCTGCTGGAATGTTGTATCCCTCTGACAGCCAGGATTGAAGCTTGCTTTTTAAATGATTTAAACTACATTTAAAAAAGCCCAATATATTTTAAGGTTAGAACTGAAAAATAGTGTGGAAGTTACTGCAAAGGGTGTAAATAAGAAATATGACTTGCTGTGTATCTTTGTGTATCTTTACTCAATATCATTTTGACATGGTATATGTCTTTTCTTCATCCCCCCCCCCCCCCCATGCATTTTCCATAGAATTGAAAATTCTGAGATTTTCAGGAGAAGTTTATTACTGTCTCATCTTATCTTATCTTATCTTATCTTATCTTATCTTATCTTATCTTATCTTATCTTATCATGTGCTTCTTGTCTGTCAATTACCCAGCACATCTTGGAGAACATCTTCTGGTCTGGAACCCCTCTCCTGGAATCTGTGGGTGAGCATGAACCCCCTGTGGAGGATCTCCGCACCACCGTTAGGCGAGCCATCCAGCAGGCGCTTGTGCCATTGAAGGCTTATGCAAAGGAATACGAGAAGTACCTTGAGCTCATCAATATGGACATAAACGCTTACGTTTCGTAAGTAATGTCACATGAATATTTCTGTGCTGTAATCATGGTCCCAATTTTGTTATTTTTTGTGTGAAAATGTGACAGAGATGCCGACTGTGAGTTTTCCTTATTCCAACAAAATTCATATAAATGTCTCTGGTTTATATCGTAGCTGTTGCTAAAAAAATAGTTAACTTTATATGACCCTGCTTTAAAGGGTGAATAAAAAACATTGCAGTTACTCATTTTTCTTGAGATGGTGGTGATACAGATGATGTACGTTTTTCCAAGAAAGAGACTGAATAGTCCAGGGCTATACTCCGGTCAAAGTTTGACCTTAGGGGACTCCTTTTACTGGACAAATTGTGCTGGAAAATGATACTTGATTCTTAAACGCTGACACATTATATTAATTGAATTATATTAATTGACCTCCTTCTCCCTCCTCCTACCTGTCTTTTTTACTGTACGGGTTGCTGGTGGGCATTCTGGTGTGGTCTGTTCCTGTTTCTTATCAGTGTCGCTATTGTACTAATTTATTCATGGCAAAATGTGGACGTTGTCATTCTGACTTACTGTAAACTGATCATGATACATCATACGCAGTAAACATAATAGTAATAGTTTGCATATGAATTGTTTTTATCCATTATAAAAAGAAGAATCTGTGCACTTGACAATTTATTATTACACCGAAAGACCATGTAACATTTTGAAACTTTTTGTCTACTTTAGAAGCATTTAATATAAGCTGCCATTTTATAGCCATTTAATCTCAAACATCAACATTCATCATCTGCCTCCTTCACCTCGGTACTGGGTATAGACCACCAAGAAGGGCTCTCCACCTATCTCTGCTCTGGATAATCTTCTCCACCACTAGCCAGCTATTTCCAATATACCTGAGGTAAACTTCTAGATCTAATCTCAAACATACTGACAAGATAAACTGCAGTTCTAGTACTTTCTCCATATCCCTTTCTTAGGGCGTACGAGGCTGCTGGACACTCGGCTGAGGAAGTGAAAGCGGAGGTCGAGATGCATCTGAAAGAGAAGGAAGTGCTGGAGGCAATTGTCCCAAGCTCCATCACTATCGGCCCTTTCTTTGTGAACACTGAACTCACCCGGCAGGCGCTGGGCAAGAAGAGGAAAGCCCTGGGCAACGCTGTGCTGGAGCTTCTGGCCAGACAGCTGAGGAAACAGGCAGATGATGTGAGTCTCTCATAGTCTCTTTGTAAGCTCTGTACCATGTGCAGTGGAACCTGCTCTAATGGCCACCTGTATATGACAATAACTTGTACAAATGGCCACTTTCCATTTTCCCGCTTATGATTTTAAAAACATTTTAGTGACACTTGGTAAGATGACCACTTGTCTAAGATGGCCCTTTATCTCCTCGATAATGTGTGGCAATCTCAGACAGTTTCGACTGTACTTCCCTGTTACAGCAGAAGGATCAGCATCTATGGTGTTGCAGTGAGGTGCTTTGCCATGGCATGCAGAAAAAATGAGTCTGACAGCTGTGAAGGGAGGCTTTTTTTTGGAGTGTATGGGAGATTTCACCATCCACTGGCTCAGTCCTATTGAAGATAACTGAATTATGCAAAATCAAGTAACTCCTTGATTCAAAGAATGACTAAAGCCCAGTGACATTTTCATACTGTTGCTTGGGCAGCTAAGCTAATGGGAACTTCAGTACACCCTGCTTGTTTCCAATCTGTCCATTTTTCTGTCTGTCATCTTCTTTTTTCTGTATGCTTATAGACCATTTTTGTGTCAATGCATGTCTCTTTAACCCTTTCACTGCCAGATCAGCATTATAATCGTACCAAAAAGCCTGGACAGTTTTGTCAAAGGCAGTGAAGAGTGAATTTAATCTTTTCCACATTGACCGTTTAGTTTGCATGTTACAGGCGTGGGTATTTGGCAGGTGCTCTGGTGTGGTTTTGTTTGCTCCTTCTTTCCTATCAATACTTTGATCCCGCGGGACGCCAATCGGCAACGGTAAGAAGCAGCCCCTTTTCCACAAGGGACACCAATCGGCACCAGTGTGATACAGCATGTACCCCATCTGTATCCTGGTCCGTGGGGATAAGTGTTGTGCTCTCTGCGCGCTGCGTGGGTGGAAAGTGTTAAACATCTAGTATCTGTATCTCTCCTCCTTCTCTTTTGTGTTTGTTACTCTCTTGTAATGCCTCAAATCTTCGACACTTATATAACGTCTTTGTGCTGCGAGTGCTGTAAAACTCTAACTAAAACGTGCTACAGGCTTGTGAGGAGTTCAAGACCATCAGTCGCAAACTCTACGACAAACCCAACTGCATTGAGGAGCTGTCTGAGATGAGAGAGTGGATTAAGGGCATTCCAGACAGACTGAAGGAGCACAATGTGAGTGCACCATGTGGTGAAACCTTGTTACTGTGATTTTCTGATCTCGTAGAAATTTTGGAGTTGACAAATAAAGTTTGTTTGGATTTGTTGAAAGTGCTAGATATAATTTGAAAAAACAGAGATCTATTTGGGACTTTAATTTTTTTGCTTATTTGGATAGCTGGACAAGTCAATGGTTTGCTGACAGTGTCCTTTTTAAAACATGGTTCTTATTATTTATCAAAGGACAACAGTTTTGGAAATGTAGTGATGAATCTACTTTGAAGTACAAATCTTATTAGGTTTATTCTGGTTTTAACAAATGCTCAAAGAACCCCTCACCTCCTAAAAAACAACAACAAATTGGCAGGAGTAAAAATTCTTTTCAAACCAAATATTACTGACAGCATTTTGGTACTAACAGGAGCTGATTGACAAAGCTATGGCTGACTATGAGCTGATTGAAGACTTCTACTACAACCTGTCCACTGATGATTTCAATGCCAAGTAAGTTGTCATCATTTTACGTGTGTCAGAAATCTGAGAACAGCATTGGTTTTTCTTACTTCGTTTGACAATTTTTTTCATCCGTTGTATTTTATCCTTTCCATGGTTGGAGGACAATGGTAGATTCTATTTCCTTTCTTTTCCGCTGTTGTTTTTGCTTTTTTCTGCACTGAATGGCAGATATTGTGTCATGTGCTTTATTTTATTGAAAAATTAGAATATATTAATGAGATAATTTTCACATTGGATTTGAATGTAGTCATGCACTTTTTTGTTTTGTCTAAGTAAAATTTAATTTTTTGTTCTCAAGGTGGACCACCATTGGATGGCCTCACAAAATTGAGAGCCAGATGGAACAGACACTTCTGCAGTTGGATGAGGATGAGGAGAGATTCCGCAAGCTGCAGATGTCTGACCAGACCAACTTTGAGGACAGGCTGGATGGGCTGCAGGTAAGATGAGATAAGATCTATGTTTACTCTCTTAATCCTCCTGTGAAAGAAAGGCAGATTTGGGTTTTGTGTTTATGAAAAGAAGAGATAGAAAAAGAGTTTGGATTGTGGGTGGTTCTGGCACAGTGACAATGTGAAAAGTTGTGTCGCATAGCATGAGTTTTTGACTTTTATTCTTATGTAAAATATTTAAGATTGTAGATAAAATGACAACGATATCTGCAAACTCATTTTATGTTGGCAGGCAAGGTTATGTTTTGTAAAGGAGTCCAGAAAGAAAAAAGAAATAACATTTCATAGTTTTCTGTATTCTCAATTATCCAATGTAAGGATTTAATCAGCTGCAATTCACAACAGAGATTTGCTAGGTTTTTCTTCTTAAAAGTTTGGAGCAGACCAGAGATGAACTGACTTTTATGGTTTGCAGTTCTCAGAGAAGATAGACTTGTATTGTTCATGCTTTTGTTGCAAAATGACTAAAATTGTAACATGTCTGTGCTTTTCTCAATGTTACTTCCTTTTGTGGGAATGCTTATAATAATGATGATAGAATATGTGTGTACCTTTTTTGTAGCAATTTTTGTACTGGTAAAACTTTTTGTTATTATTCTTTTGTTTCTATCTGAATGTTTTCCTTTTTCTCTGGCTCTTCATTCAAACTCAAACAAATGACAGTAATAGTAGAACTCTGTAGGAGTCTCTCCACTCTACCTGGTCTTGCAATCTTCTTGTTCCCTCAAAAACCCTTGAAAGATAATGTTATGTGCATGTGACATGTATGGTCCTCCTGATGCTCTTCCACCCCCTCCCTCCTCCCCGGGTGGTGCTACTGACTGAAGTGTCTTTAGGCCATTTCCACAAGGGGGACATTAACATGTTCTTATACACAGTAGAATTGTAAATGGGCTTATTCATCAATGTCATGCTCATGACTGTGCCTGAACTGCAACAGGGAACTGATCTTTACTATCGTCATTTTTCCTCTACTTCTTTTGTACATTTGTCACATTCTTGTAACCCGCTATTTCCGGGGTGCCTTGATAGTCGAAGCAGACTTTGTGTTGTTGAAGCTAGAGAGGTGAGCAGAGTAATTCTGATTCCCTGTAAGGACTTCTCTGTTGACATACACCCATTGGCACTCATATAATGACCTTATGCAGTTGTGAGCGCCGTAAAACCTCTACTAAGACTAAAACTGATGTTCTTCCATCTTCCACTTTTCTGTTGAGAATTTTTTTTTTTGGTGTTATTTTTAAAAATCGTTCCACATGCATGACCAACATGTTATTTCAATCAGTTTTCCATTTTTTGTCTCTTGAAGTATTTTAGATAAGATAACTTCAACTACCTTGACCGTTAGTGTTTTGCCAACAGATATGAAAGTAGCATGATTTTCCAAACATTTTATCTGGTGTCCCTTCCTAGATGGCTGTGGCAGGAATGGCTGCCTACTCTGAGATCAGCAGGGCTCATGAAATAGCCAATGACATGAGGCGTATCAACAAGCAGCTGAAAGAAGCCCAGCAGTTGGCTGTCACTTACAACAACAGAGAGCGTCTCTTTGGCCAACCAGTTACCAATGTGAGTGATGATGGAATGTACATTCTGATGATCAGTCTTATAAATTATTGTTTTACATGGTTTTCTTTCAGCCAGCCTCACATGTTTCAGCGATACTAGATCTATGTGTATTATTATGGTACCCATTTTGCTAATGAAATTTTTTTTCCAGGTTAATCTCTTTCTTATTATTTTTCAAAGTTTACAAATTGAACAAAATATACTTTGTCCCTCTCTCATTCACCGCAAATTAAAACAAGCAAACCATCAAATGAGCAAACAAATAGACATGCAATTGATTTGGTTTTGTTGCGAATTATTTTGAAAGAAAACTCTCCTGACTGTTGCAAACGTTGTCAACACGCTATAATGTGGAGATGGAATCATCAACAGTTTTCAAGGCACACAGTTGTGGAACTTTTGAGTTTGTTCCTCATCCCTACTCCATCTCTGTCATGTGTGCTTGAACGTTCATCTCTCTGGACTCACAGCCTGAAATGTTTTGATGTTTTGTCTTCCACATGCTTTCTGTTTGCACTCCTTCCACCCCTCACGAACTGATATACCTCACTGATATTGTGTGTGTCATGAATCAATGTATATTGAACATGTTTACATTTGTATTCTTTTAATTTTGAAACTGAAAAAGAAAAGGAATAATCTGAAAGCTGTACTCTTGTTTTATTCCTCATCATTCTAGAATAATATATGAATGACAGAATCATTTTCTATTTTGCTTACTGTACATGTATCGCATTTTTTTTTCTAAAATCAAACAATATACTGCTGACAAACAGATAATCTTTATTTTAAAAAATCAGTGTTGACTTTTTATTATTATTTTGCCTCTTGCTGATCATTACCCATTTTTTCTTGGGTTGGGTTGCATGAGGACAATTACTTTTTTTTCATATTGTTTTGATAATTGTATAATTATATTAACTCAGATACTTTTCCTCACATTACAGACCTAATATTACATGTATATTCAATTCCCTTGGTGGCGGATTCCTGCAATATTTTTGGTTTTCTATTATTTCTGTACTCTGACCAGTAGACTATGGGACTATGTAGATCTATCTTCTTAGCTCAAGTTGAAAAAGATTTAATAAGCCAAGGACAAAGAAGTTAAGTTTTTAATTTTTGTTCATTTAGCAACTTATTTAGGAATACATAACACTTAACAATGAAAGATCTACTTCATAAAAGTAGATGATATATCCACTCTGAAGTACTTGTTTTCAATGCTTTCAGAGACTAATGAGTTGGGGTTTTTTTGGTTCAGAAAACAAAATATGTTTTCAGATAGTGTTGAAAGAAAAGCACTTTATTTTGAGATATGTATATTAACCCGTGTTAAGAATATCTTTCTTAAGGACCCCAGTCTTTCTTGGCTTCATGGTATTTGATATTGAGTCTTGTAACTATTATGAATGTACAATGTATATAACTTTCCCGAAGCATTGAGTGTTCCAGCATAGCATGACCCTCTTGCGGAGGTTCAGAGCTGCTTGACAATGGAGTCGACTTGTTTACGATCATAACAAACGCAATACACAATTGAAGTCTGCGAGTTGTAAAGTACCACCCCACATGTGCTGTGAGTCTGTGTTTGATGCATCGCTGTGCATGTACCAACTAGAGCGTGTCTTTGTTAAGTGTTGTGTGTGTAGTTGTTATCGTAGAAAAAGCATGGCGCCTCAACAATACTTATTTCCAGTTTTATCTAAAAGTAAAAATTCTTATGAATAAGGTAACGTTTTCATGTATATTATACAAACACATAACATGTACATGCATCAGTGTGCACATGCACACGCACACACACACACGTACACACACACACACACACACAAACCGACACACACACACACACACACACACACACACACATACACACACACACACACACACACACACATACACACACCTTTAAATGCAGATATTGAGGTTCAAATGCTGCTTCATTAACAGTTTAAATGGTCCTAAGGGAGGCTCCCCATCTTAATTAAATGCTCTCAGAACAATATTCACAAACTTTTTCCAGATGAAAAGGCATTACAGCCCAGAGATTGAAGAAAAGGAGAGAGAGATAGAGAGAGAGTGAGAGAGAGATAGAGAGAGAGTGAGAGAGAGAGAGAGAGAGAGAGAGAGAGAGAGAGAGAAAGAGAGAGAGAGAGAGAGGGGCAGAGACAAAGAGACAGAGAGACAAAGAGACAGAGAGACAAAGAGACAGAGAGACAGAGAGAGAGAGAGATAGAGAGAGAGAGAGAGAAAGAGAGAGAGAGAGAGAGAGAGAGAGAGAGAGGATAAATCAGTCTAGGCCAAATGAACCTGAGCCCCTGTGACAAAAGAAAGAGAAATTGTACTTAAAAATCAGCCCCGAAAAACTGAAATTACCCCTAGTATCTGAAATCCTAACCCCCTGATTCACTCATAGTCAGATCTGATCACCACAGCAGCAGCTGCAGCAGCACTGTTACAAAAAGCCACAACCTATGGAATGGTAAATCGAACATTTTCTTAATGTGCTGCATCTACATGCAGTATGAGCATTCCGATAATACATTAGCCTACCCACCTATTTATTATATGTGTAACACTAAACTGCTTTGAAATTAATGATAATGAAATTCATTACCGGTAAGGACAATTTTAGAAATGATTTTATGTTGAGATGCTTAAGAGGCTTTGCGATTCTTTAAGTAAGGAGCCATGCTTTTCGTTTTGAAGCTTAGATGAAGTGAATGTATGTGTTGTAGTGGACTAGTAAATACAAAAGATATTGCCTTTTTCAACCACCTGCACATGTACAGACCTACTTGTTAATTATTTGAAGCACACCAATAATTTCACCATGCATATATTATGTAGTTTATTCTAAAGTAATCAAAATTTGTATGAAATTTGTTTGTGGATTTTGAGATTCATGAGAAGTGGTTTGAAAGAAGCAAATAAAGACCTTTCAATCTCTTTAGCTACCCCCCTCCCCCGTCCAAACCCCCTGTTAAAACCCTCATTTAAAAAAAGAATGAAAATAGAAAATAGACAATAAAAAGTAAAGTAGCAAAATTGATTCAATACATGTAAACTTGGATGTTTCACGAATCATAATAAAATCTAATAATATGTCCCTATCCCGTGTTCCATAGGGTAAAATACCTATTATTTAAGTCTCATTTTTAAAGAAGTATTTCGTGAATAAATAATTGTCCACCTTAAAAGAAACATGAAGTTGAGTACCATAGAATGACGAGAACATAATAATGGACAACTTCTTTCGTATGATGAAATATAATTAAAATATAATTGTGTGATTTAGACGTGTGGAACAAACCCTTTTTACTAACCCTTCTACAAGGTCTTTTCCAAAATACCTTGTGTGCACACTTTTCGTTTATGTACTCAAGATTGTGTGGAAGAGTTTAGGGGTATTCCCATGAATACTTTTGGGTACGTTTATTTTTACACATGCAGAGCATTAATATTTTACCTTGGATGTATGGGAACGGTTTGGTACCGTAACAGTATTTTTCTTTGATTATAAAGAGTTTGTTGTTGTTTCATCTGCTACTGTTCAGACATGGTTAAAAAGTAAGAGTATAAACCCCAAACTGAGCATCACAAACTAACCAACTCTTAAAGACAACTGCACTCTCTTTTATGTTATGTTATACATCGTCATATAGTCCGGTTTATGGGATTGGGTTTCTGGACAAGGAGTTTTGTTTTGTTTTTTTTTGTTTTTTTTGACTGCAGAGGTCATATAAAGTTTCAGGGTTATTACAATCAGAAGTATCGTCAGTGAAGACTAACATTTAACTTCTCTTTGTTTTATACTCTGTAGTAGCTTTTTTTCAATTTTTTATTTTTTTACTATTGCTTGTTAATTTTTGTTTTTTAATTTTCTTGCCATGCATGTTTGACGGTGCAACCATTAATGCATGTATTTTGCTGTTTATTTTGCTGTATTTTGCCAAATTGTGATGGTATGAATATTTTTGTGCAAACACTCATTCATGTCCTCATACACAGCTGTAACTCAAAAGAAAGGGCTGCTGTGCCAATATGATAATATTTTTTTGTTTGAGGTGCATAAATATGCAGCCCTTAGTAGACTTTTCAAAATCTGAAGTTCTCCGTTCTGAACATTCCCCCTCCTGAAAAAAAGAGCTAGTGAAGTGATGAATACAGAAGTATAGCTGAATGTACTCATGTCAAAGAGCATCGTTTGGTCTGTTAAATGGATGGTAAAAGTAAACTTTAGCCCTCCATTTGGAACGTGCTTAATTAACCTAGTACGTACTTCCAGGGTCTTCGTACTCTGTGGGACCACTACGGATTGCTATAATGACAATTTTGTCATTCGAGAAAGACCCTTTTAACTTATTTTCAGTGTTTGGCCTCGAACGAATTTTTGGTCCCCTTAGAATGGTTTCTGAACCAAGATTGTTTAAAGAGTGTTATACGTCTCTTTGCTTTGTTGTGCAGGAGACGCAGGACCTTTATTCATAGATCCGGCTCCTTCATATAGGCAAAATGCGTGTTTGAAAGAGCTGTGAAATCGATGAGTTTCAACAATGCACATTAGACTGCATGACCTTTTCTTGTTGCTTTTAGCTTTGTAAATTGTTTTTTATTGCTGCATTTTTATTTGCATGTTAGGGGAAACATCAGACAGCATGCTCGAATTGCTTTGACATTTTGTTTTCATAATTTGAATTATATGAATTTCATGACGCCAGTTTAAAAAAAATGTTAAAAATAATATGATTATTGGTTCAGCTTCAGAAAAGCTCAAGAACACCCCCTCCCCTCGTTTTCCATACACACACAAATAAACACATTATTAATCTGTGTCTGTCTGTCTGTCTGTCTGTCTGTCTGTCTGTCTGTCTGTCTGTCTGTCTGTCTGTCTGTCTGTCTGTCTGTCTGTCTGTCTGTCTGTCTGTCTGTCTGTCTGTCTGTCTGTCTCCACCTCCCTCTCTCTCTCTCTCTCTCTCTCTCTCTCTCTCTCTCTCTCTCTCTCTCTCTCTCTCTCTCTCACACACACACACACACACACGCACACACATTATTTTGATTAAAACATTTGTCCCATGCAATATCGTACAAAACTGCAACTATATCTGATGTTTCCCAATGGATATTGTCCAGTAGATGATACTTTCATTTGATAGCAATAGATGCAACTAATTGTGCCTCTCGAGAGACTGACAGTAAGATACCCTGTGTCTGTGTTGTAGTGCCTAGGATCATGGAAAAATAATGTCATTACATTTGCTTGACTTCGACTCCCTTGAGGGGAATAATATCAAGCACTGGTTCCTCCGTCTTTTAAGATGCCCTGGCTGGCTCCGGTTGGGTTGGTCGAAATTTCTCTCTCTGTCTGTCTCTCTCTCCCTCTCTCTCTATCTCTCCCTCCCTCTCACTCTCTCTCTCTCTCTCTCTGTCTCTCTCTTTATATATATCTCTCTGTCTCTCTCTGTTTCTCTATGTCTCTTTCTGTCTCTTCATGTCTCTTTCTGTCTCTCTCCCTCCATCCTTCCCTCATTCACCCCCCTTCCGTTTTTCATGCTATCAATCTGTTCTTATCTGAAGAGGACATCAGTTTATGGATGCCATCTCATGAAAAGCCTGAACTGAAAAAAAAAATGAACTGCACATCTCACAGGCTCAGTCGCTAGTTTGGCAAAGGGAGGCCTTACTGTCAGTATCTCTCGTTGTACAGCTTCAGCTTAGTAGTTTAACATTGATTTGACCTTGCATGTTTATGTATGCATGAGATATATTGATGTTGTAGCTTGTAGATAACAGCCTCAGAGCAATCATGTGGGGTCATGGGCACAGGATTTAAACCCCCCCCCCCCCTTTTTTTTTCCTTCTAACCATTACTCTCTCCCTCTCCCCTTCCTTATTTCCCAAATTTTTCTTATTATATTCTCAGCGTTTCCTATAAATAGTCTGAGTTGGCCCGGGAGCATTTGCCTCTCTAACCAGAGTTGGGGTAGAGAGTACAACTTCCCAGCTGGTAGATGCCATGTAGGTTATGCCTAATCTCTCTGAGGTTCACCTTTTCTCAGCCCTGACTCTGACGTTTTCTTAGCTCTTTTTCATAGATATTATTTCATGGATATCTATCCAGTTTCGTCTGATCCTGGCTTTTTCCCCCGATAAATGCCCTTTCTTGAAAAGAAAAAATGAGAGAATCTTTATGCATTTCGGAATGTCTGTGAACACATTCTTGATAATAATGTCTTTGTCTTTCTCCTTTTTCTCTGTGTCTTTTCCATTTTGTCATTTGCTCTCGTTTGCGGATGCCCCGAGAATAGCCAATTTTTCTTTATGGATTCAAGTTCCCGAGTATTCTACTCGTACATCTCACATCCTCGTGCACGTAGCCTAAGTTGCTTCCATTTTCTTTATTTTAAAACCGCCGGCCATTGACCAAGATGTGTTTGGTTGAAGTACTTGCTTTGGTTTAAAAATAATCTTGTGCTGGAGATATTGAAATCTTAATAATTGGTCCCTCATCTATGAAAGGCCCAACTTCTTCCTCTTCTTCTTTCATTCATGTCTGGCCCAAGTTCAGCAGGTCTGTCCACTTTACAGCTAAAGTGAATTCAGTTGAAATATTCATTCACCTACATTGACTTCAGTCTTAGAATCCAATCTCTGATCTGCTTTCTAATGGAAGTATTGCATAGGCTTGTAATATTAAAAGCACAAATCTATGAGGGTGTCATTAGACCCATCTTTATCCTCATCTCTGTAAGAAACCCTACACCTCGTAGCCCCCCCCCCCTCCTCCCGGCCCCATTTACAGTAATGTCCTGTGCCCACAGTACGATAGCACTTGAGAATAAAATCATCGCAACTCTGCGACACTGCAGGCAGTGAGAACACAGCCATTAAGCTCTGGCGTGTATTATGTTTGTTATTATAGTACGACAAGCTGGTGAAGCTTGTCAAGGACTTTGAGCCGTACCGCAATCTGTGGGTCACGGTCTCCGACTGGCAGAGATGGCAGGAATCCTGGATGAACGACCCACTGACTGCCATCAATGCAGAGGACGTGGAGAAGAATGTCAATGAGTCCTACAAGACGATGCACAAGAGCGTGAAGCTCTTCAATGAGATCCCCAGTGAGTTGACTCTCAAATCTTCTAAGTGGGCAGTTGGCGGATGCTCTGGTGTGGTTAGCTCCTTCTTTCCTATCAAACATCTATTGTCTTTATCCTTTGTCCTTCTTTTCTTTGTAAGACATTCTCAAGTGACAATACTTATCTTTGGCACTCAATGTGACTATAGCCTATATGTGTGTTGCAAGTGCTGTAAAACTATTACTAAAACTTTCTTAGTAATTCTTTTAGTTATCAAGAGCTTTTATTACTGTGATTATATGGTGGAAATTTGCTATGTGAGGGTGATCCATTATGTTAACGGGTAATAATTATAGCTATGATAAAAATTATGATCATCACTATTCTGAAATAGGGATGACGATGATAATGATGATGATAACGGAGATGGTAGAGATGATGATGGTGATGATGGTGATAAGAGGTGGTGGTGATAGTGGTAGTAGGAGTGGAGTATCATGTTATACTCTTTTATTTCTCATTACATTTTCTTTTGTTGTGACTGTCTATTTTTGTTAAATGTGCAAAACATCCCCTAAAATAGAGATATAAAGTCCTGCTGTAAGCCTCCTCCCCCAACTCTCTCCCAAAGCTTTGTGATAACAGCATTTATTTCCATTTGTGATTTAAGATTGTGGCAATATCTTTTTCATTTTTAAATATCTGTCCTCTGTAATGAACTCATGTCTGTCCCCTTTTATCCCATACAGACGTGCAGCAGGTGGCTTCAGAGATCAAGACAATGATTGAGGACTTCCGGCCGTACATCCCACTGATCCAGGGCCTGAGAAACCCAGGCATGAGGAACCGCCATTGGGAACAGGTACATTTGATAAAGAGAATGTGGGGCTTGGGGTTGGGGTGATAGTGGGGGGAAGGTGGGGAGAAAAGTGGGGAGAGGAGAAGAGATGGGGAAATGGTGGGGGTGGGGGAGGGGAGGTGGGGGAGAGGCAGGGGGTGGGAGAGAGGTGGGGTTGAGGGATTGAAGGTGAGGCGGAGGGCGGGATGGGGGGGGGGGGGGGAAAGGTTGAAGGTAGGTAGGGAGGGAAAGTCAAGTATCAGCTTTAGGTCTGAAATATCATTAATGCCTATTTTTAGTGCTTTATTGATTATAGATAGTGAGACCACCCCGTCCACCAAACCAACAATGTTATTACCACCAAAATCCCCACATCTAGTAAAAACTATAACAATAACCCCACCTAACCTCTATCGACTCATTCTGTTTCAAAGCCGTCATCACAATGACCACAACCATCAACACGACTTTTTCCTGATGCAACAATATCAGTGCTGCTTCTACTTTTACTTATGATATATGTCTCAACGCGTTGACTTTCTGGCTTGGGGTAGTCTTACCCCCTGGAAAATTTATGCACTTCCCTAAGGCTAATTGAGCATGAAATTTCTTTTTGCTGAGGCGAGATGCTGGCAGTTGAATGAAAAGCATGCTGGTGATGAGACTGTTTTTTTAAAAGGTTGTTACACCCCCTCCCCCCCCACCCCCACCCTCCTTGTTGCACTGGGGTTGGCTGCCATTGTTGTAATTAAGTAGGCAAAAGTAAAGACTCTGTTTCTTGATGAAGAAGGTTGATTTATTTAACATATAAGAAAATGACACGAGGTCTGTCCTCTCAGGCTTCACTGACAAGACTGAATCATAATGAGCACATGTGGTTAAAACGGGAAGGAGGAATGAGTTAAGATCACTAAGATCAGACAATCTTTGGTATGAGGGTAGATAGAATAAAAGTACAATTACAGGGAAATAATTCAAATTAATTATGGTAATATAGGGACCAACAATCCAGGATTTATTGTTGCCCTTCTATATATTGATAATAAGCAATCTAATAGTCTAACACTCCTCCTCCTGAAAAACTAGCAAAAAGTAAAGGAAAAATAAGTTGATTAAAAGAATAAACAATTTTTTTGAGAGGATAATTCCAGACTTTATGAGCAAACCCCTTGAACACCAAAGTATGTTATTTTCAACATGTGAGTATACTATAAGTTTGTTCCATCTATTTTTTGTGATTGTACTAAAAACAAGGAATTTCTTTTCTCCCTTTGTTATAATATAGGAAAAGCTGCAGTCATATAATATTATTTTTTACTGATACTGTATTATCCTGTTTATTTCTACCTCAGCTGTCTGAAGAACTGGGCTTCCCAGTAAGACCCAAGAAGGATTTGACCTTCCAGAAATGTCTGGAGATGAATCTCCAAGACCACATTGCCACCATAGCCAAGGTGGCCGAGGTGGCAGGCAAAGAGTATTCCATTGAGCAGGTACGGTTTACGGGTTTGTTGACAAATATCACTTTCTATTGAGTTTATATGTTCACCCTCTTTCCTTCTCTTCGTCCATCTCTTTCTTCTGTCTCTTTCTTACATCTATTCATCCATTTAATTATCCACCTTTTCTTTGTTCAATCCCTTCATCTATTCATACATCCAGCTTAGCAGTCATTGCTTCTTCCATCTTTTCATTATTTGTCAGTTCAGCTGTCCGTCCTTCTCTTCTTCCAATCATTCGCCTATTCGACTGTCTATCCTTGTGTCCTTCTCTCTGTCTAATTTTCTCAGTATTAAGTGGTCTCTACACTGTCCTGCCATCTGACTTTTGGTGCATTTGCCCCTCTGTGAAATAAAATTTCCCATATCCATATTGATCTTTCCCTTTTCCCTTTCTTTGTTTATCTGTAAGTGTATGCTTTTCAATACTTTCTAGCGTTCTTTTTGTTCCTGGGGCTCGATATAAGCAGAACCAACTTCATTTGATTGAAAAGTGAGCTTTTTGAAAACTTGTTCAATGAATCATGGAGTTTGAATTTGATTATTGGTTCAAGGGTCAGTTTGTGGGGTCTGCTTCTGCTTATTTCCCCTTTAACCATAATCCTAATCTGTTCCTAGTAAAATATGGCCATTTCAAGTCAACTTGGGGAAAAAAACTAAAGTTTATTAACCGTCTAAGATGATGAACAAATATACCACTTTTGATGACAGCTTTAATCAGATTTTTTCTGTTCCAAACCTTTAGGCCCTTGACAAAATGGAGAAGGAGTGGGATCCAGTAAACTTTGAGATCATCGCGTACAAAGAGACTGGCACATACATCTTGAGGAGCTCCGAGGAAACCTCCCAACTGCTGGATGACCACATTGTGATGACACAGAGCATGTCCTTCTCTCCATTCAAGAAACCATTTGAAGACCGCATCAGCAACTGGGAGAGTAAGCTCAGGACAACTCAGGTCAGAGGAGAAAGAAAATAGAAATGACATTTTAATTTGTCTTTTCTGTGATTAAGTTTGCAATTATTGCAAATACAAAGACATTTTCAATGTAAAATTCATAACAAACTGTATTTGATTCAAATACACAAATAGAATGACTGATCTACACAGTGCAGAGTCATTTTTAAAGCCAGGATTGACATGTCTTTCTTAAAGACACACACCAGTAAACTCCAGTTAGAATGCGTCTCATTGACATTTACTTTATCTCCGATTCTCTCTCAGATAAAATTCATAATGCAGTAATTCATACTGTGTCAAATCCCATAAGTGCAGCTCTAGGCACTTTACAGTACCTTTATCATTACACAAAATACATGTTCATCAACATTCATATGCTCTGTAGATTAATGCTCACACATAAGTAGACATTCACACTGTCACAGCTCAGCTGATGATGATATACTTATGACATTAAGGAAATGTGAACACTATCAATAGAAACGACTAATTGTCAAGATGGCATTTCATGAAGTAGCCTATGTTTTTAAATAGATTAACAATTTTGCCTATGATTTTGTATGCCTCAAATGATATGGGAGAGAGTACAAGATAGTATAACTGTACTATGTTAATTCCCCTTTGCTCTCCCCAGGATGTGCTGGATGAGTGGCTCAACTGCCAGCGAGCCTGGCTGTATCTGGAGCCTATCTTCAGCTCTGAGGACATCAATAGGCAGCTGCCAGTGGAGAGCAAGCGCTACCAGACCATGGAGAGGATCTGGAGAAAGCTCATGAAGAACGCCAAAGAGAATCCTCAGGTATGCTAGAGAGATGAATGCTTTGTAGAACCCACTGTTGAATGCAGTGAGTGTTTGGAAATGATAGAGTGTTAGGTGTTATATGTTTACACTTTTGACTGTATAATGAAAGATGCTGGAAAAGGTGGAGTTCTCACAGCTGCTCGGCCAATGGAATACTATCACTCCAACTTCCTTCCAATAATATCGAAGCAGACTAAATTTTATAAGCTGGTAACATTTCTCACTCAGAGACTGGCTGGACCCAACAATTAAACTGCTTGCTTGCCTGTTTTGATTTCTGTTATTTGACTGTTCTTTGGCATATGCATAACTTGATAGTGCACCCCTTCACTGTTGCAAAAAAGGTGAGTAACTCTTTTGGCTCTCTTTAACAAGGTGAGTAATTTTATTAAATTGGAGAATTTTTTTTTCTTGCAACTATGATGATATGCCCTTTTTGCAGTTTGACCAGTTTCATTGCAATTGTAAATAGCTTCAAATGTTCAATATCCACCATTAAGTAATGACAGTATGTCTTTTTTGTGGTTTGATCTATTTCGTTACAATTGAAAATGACTTTAAAAACTCCTTTCCTTCCCTAGGTGATCTCCCTTTGCCCAGACAACCGCCTGCTGGACAACCTGAGAGAGTGCAACAAACTCTTGGAGCAGGTACAGAAAGGACTCAGTGAGTACCTGGAGACAAAGCGTAACGCCTTCCCACGATTCTACTTCCTGTCTGACGATGAGCTGCTGGAGATCCTGTCTCAGACCAAGGACCCGACAGCCGTACAGCCACATCTCAGAAAGTGCTTTGAGAACATTGCTAGAGTAAGTGTGACGGAGCAGAGAGATCTTTCTTTCTCAGGATCAGACAAAAATATGTTGTTTATTTAATGTAAAAAGTAGTTGTTTTTTTTTATAAAGACAAGTGTTCTCTGCTCTATTAGCTCCACAATAATCAATTTTTTCTGTTTTTTCTACTTTTAAAGGAACTTGAATATTAACTACTGCCCGAGGAAGTGTATAAAAAAACAAAATCAGCACTGGAGACTAACATCTCCTTTGTACTCGAAAAAGATGTTATACATGTGAGCAAAATGATGGTGATAATATAGTCATCTTGTGTAATTATTATGGAACATCAAAAGTAAAAAGAAAGGAACTCAAAAAATAAATTATATTGATAGATCTGTCTATAAAATTTTTAATGCCTTTAATCAAATAGTCCAAGACTGGAATGAAATGTCATAGGGCCGTGGAGGTCTGAATCTACACCAGGGAGACATCAACTGAGATCTATACAAGGAAAAGGTTTTCTTGTTGATTTGTTCACCAGTTGACGTTATTTGGTGTGGTATTGGCCAGTGCAATCAGTGGCCCCAACAGAGTTATAATCCTCTATTTGTTTCAGCCTTTGTTGATTCTTGTGACATCATGGACTTTCAGGCTGCAGGATTTGGTGAAATTGCCGGTAAAGAAGTTGGTAGTCTGCCTCTTTTTCTGTTTGCCTGTGTAATTATTATAAATCTTTGACCAGAACTCTAATTGTCATATCCTCCATTACCTGTACAGCTCAAATTTGAGGAGGATCTGCGGATAACCAAGATGTACTCAGGTGAGGGAGAGTGTGTGGACTTCCGAGAGACTCTCTACCCTACAGGCAATGTGGAGGACTGGATGTTGGAGATAGAGAGATGCATGAAGGAGTCACTCAGGCAAATCATCAAGGAGTCCCTGCAGAACTACAAGGAGGTGAGGGTGCTGTCTACACAGTGTCTTTTTATGGAATATTCCAGAGTGATTTTAGGATTTTAAAATGTTTTGTACAATTCATAAAAAAAAAAAAAATCCTGTTGTGCTTATTATGTTTTCAATTATTGTTGCTTCTTTGGGTTCTGGAAATTCCTCCACTTCTAAGAGGTACTTATTATTTGTCTAATCACATTCATATATATTCTAAAATTGATATGGATACTTCAAGAAGTTTCATGACTATTTTGTACAGAAAGGTCCTATAGTTGTGACTCATGTGATCCAAAACTTATTGTTATTGGAAAAAGATGTTATCAAACCGAAAGTCTATTTCAAATTTTGTCTTTGTCTTCTTGCTGAAATGCTATATCCCACTCAGCCAGGGTTGCCAGGCAAGATTGAAGCAGCCATCTCTTATTAGGTTTAAATTGTGTCCAGGGGCACCTAAAACATTTACAATCAGCTATCATTCAATTTAGAATGCTGAAATGTTAATGTTTCTTTGCAGATTCCCCGGACAGAGTGGGTGCTCTCCTGGCCTGGTCAAGTGGTCATTGCTGGGTGCCAGACCTACTGGAGCAGTGAAGTCACATCTGAGCTGGAAGCTGGGAATCTCAAGGAACATTTCAAAGTAATGACTTTGGCGATGAGTTGGGCTTTCGAACCTTCTCCAGCTAACTTGTGTTATGTTATTCAAAAAGTTTCCTTGTAAGTGTATGGTTTGATAGGTATGCTACAGGTTTACTGGCTTTTTTCAATACTGTGTGGCACTTATGTGGCAAAACCTTAGAATTTATTGTCTGCCTCCAGTAAGAAACAGCTTAGTGGATAGAGAGCCTTGAAAACACTCCAAACCACTCAAGTGAAAGAATGCCCCAACAAGGGTTTGAACAAGGACCATTTTTGCATTGTAGTCTAGCTTGATATCAATTGAGCTTCTAGGACCCCTTAAGTGCTCATGTTTTATGAAAAATATTTGATGATCTTAACTCTTTATCTCCGAAGGGGGTAAACCCACTTCGCCGGGGCCCTTTTTGGTACTAAATCTAAAAATGACAAAAACGTCAGTAAATGGGTAATTAAATCGAAACTAGCGAACCTATTATGATAATATTTCATCTAATGAATGAACTTCCGATAAAAGAAGTAATTTGATGTCAAAGTCGTCACAAAGGAATGTTCCTAAGCCGCTGTCAGGGGCTCACCGGCACAGCAGTTCCGACCGCAAAGATAAAGTCTTATAAAACGAAACTACTTTAGATAGTAAGGTAATGAATTACACTTTTCTGTCATGATTTCTGCTTTCTATACAAGTAGTTACCATTTCATAGTGAGCTACCTTTCTTGCATGAATGCTACTGGTACATATTATGTGTGTGTGTTACCAGTTGTTGGCAAAGCTATTTTTGAGCTACAAGGTAGAATGGCCAAAAAAGCTGTACTTGGTAAAAAACATTAGTTTCATCGGAAAACACACATTTAACCATTTCTTAACATATTGACAGGATTTTATAATATTTTAAGTCTAGATATTGTTTTATTATTTATTTTTGCAGCATATTGTTCTCCACAAAAGGTTAAAAATGTACTAGAAATTGGGGTTTTCTTCCAATTTAGTTTTTACACCCTGTGTTACAAAATGTGGCATATCTAACAATTCAAGATATTAAAAAAAAAATTTTAAACAGCATTTTCAGCATTAAATTTACTACAAGAATTGTCATAAGAAACAGATGGAAAAGATCCCACCCTAATCTCAATGGACGTGACTCCTACTACATACTAAATAGAGCAGACCAGGTCACAATCTTTCGACTCCGTTATTGCCACAACAGACTCAAACACCATGGGCATACTAAATTAAAAGTGGGAGAGTCCCCGATCTGCGAATGTGGACTTGAACAAGAGGATGCCAACCATATCCTTCAGCACTGTCTGCGCTACGCCACCCTTCATACACAGACGTGGCAGAACATGACTCCTCTTGAGAGAAAAGCTCTATGGCGGTCTCTGACATCAGACTGACTGTCTAGCTGCTGTCATCGACAACAAGGAAGAAGAAGAAGAAGCTGCAAGAATATGCCCTTATTTTAATATCTAAAATTTCCAACAACTGGGACTTTGTCAAGGCACACACACATATTTTCTGAACTCTGATAATCTAGAGTTTACCAAGTATAATTGTCTTGAATATTGACTTCTTTGCCCTTCTTCCTGAACTGAACTTTGAATTCAAAATGTCTTTTAGAAGAAAGCAAGATGAGCTGGTTATGAAAATCTGAAGTTCTTGAATGATACGTTTTTGCAACTTCAATTTTTTTTGCTCGCAACTTTAGCTACTTTAGTTACGGTACAGGAGAGAAAAAGTAGTAAATAAATTAGTTACTGAATTTTAAAAGAATTTCACTGTTATTTAGGTCATTGTGATCCTGTCCTCAGACTGTGCTGACCCAACTTGATGACCTCAGAGGTCTAGTGAGACAAGACATCTCAAAGATCGGCCGCATGACCCTGTCCGCCCTCATCGTCATTGAGGTGCACGCCCGTGACGTGGTGGCAAAGATGGTGGAGCAAGAAGTGAACAATGCCAATGACTTTGAGTGGATCAGTCAACTCAGGTAGGATGATTTGAACTCTTACAACCCCAGTCGCATATATTATTTACCTCGCAAGTTCTCATTCGCCTTAGCACAGTCATGTATATTTCCTCTCACAGGGCACCTGCCACCTCAAACCTAGTGACCCTAGAACACTCAGAAACATTCTCAACTTCTCAGGAAGTATACAGTGCTATTGTGACAGAGATGTAACTGTAGCTACATATTGTCCACAGGTACTACTGGCTGGAAGATGAGAACCTTTACCAGCGTGCTGTCAACGCCCAGTTCCCTTATGCCTATGAGTACCTGGGAAACACAGGACGTCTTGTCATCACTCCACTCACTGACAGGTGAACTTCATGTATTATTGTTATAATCATTGTTATTATTATTAATATTGTTATGATGATGATGATTAATTAATGTGTATATTACACAGTTTATTGTCGAGCCCTTGATTTTTCTAAAAAGACGCAAATGTAACATGATATTAAGTGAGAAGACTTATGAGTAGAAAAGATAATTATAACTTCAAATGTACGCAAATGAGCCTCATTATAACTTGCTGCTGGTGATTGGATCATTATCCTAAGGATTATAAGCCACACGCTGATCTCTAAATGTGTGTGTTCCTTGAGAAAGGTCACAGTTGATGGAAATTTTGGATATTGAAATAAGAACACATCCCTGTTGCTAATTCAATGCTGAGCATGCTGAATTTTAAACTTTCGAATTATCTTGAGTAGTTTCAAAGATAGGGCCTAAGCCACATTTTGAAACATAGGGTGGTAAAACCAAGTTTGGAGAAAACCTAAATTTCTAGCACATTTTTACTCTTTACTGAAGTACAACATGTTGCAAAAATAACTAATAAAAAATATTCAAACTCGGAATACTATAAAATTCCTTCAATACATTATCAAGAAATTGTTAAACATGAGTTTTTTGATGGAACTAAATTTTTGGCCTAGTACGACTTTTTGGCCTTCTCACCCTGTTGCTCCAAAAATAGCTTTGCTGACAACTGGGACCTTTCTCCAGGCACACACACAAAAACACATCCTCTCTTTCTCTTCTCTCATACTCCTCCACTCTTTTCTTCCCAGATGTTATCTGACTCTGACCGGCGCCCTACATCTCAAGTTTGGTGGCGCCCCTGCTGGCCCTGCTGGCACGGGCAAGACTGAGACAACAAAGGTGAATGCTCAGATGGATTCAGTAGAAATGAGAGCTGAGTGTTTGAATTGGCCTGAGAGAATTTCTTTCTCTCTCTGTGTCATCCTCTTTCAAGCTATTAATAATTTATCTGTATAGTGTGGGCAGTTACCATGTAAACTTGCTGTTGATATGTGAGTATTCTGAGGAAGAAAGTGTTGAAAACCTCAGTTTTCAGGTCAGACTTGTATTATCTTTCCAACCGCTAAAGTTATATTGCGTAAAAGAGTAAGAAAACTGGTCAGTAATGGGGCATAACTGGAAAATAATATTACAGATAAATTGATTTCTGTCCCAAAGTTTCTCTTTTTTTCTCACTGTGATTTAGGACATGTCATTTTCATTTTTTTTTTTTTTAAATGTGAAAAGTGGGCAAGAAACAGAAAGATTAAATATTTTACTGCAGAACAATTTCTATACTCTTTGATCTTATGATTTTTAATTTGTCTTATAAGTTACAAGGAAATTCAAAGCCAAAACTAGACAAATGCTCAGGACATTCTTGACAGCGCCATGTCCTCCCCCCCCCTCCTGGACAAACCAGTTCATGTTTCCCCCCTCTCCCCCCATTGGTAAAGTATAATATTTATTTGTTGACACCTCAAGTCATAAACATCTTCATAGATTAGCACTGCCCCTGTCCTCCTGACACCTCTGTGCAGCTACCCAGCATGACTGTGCATGAAGAAGTTATAAAGACTCTGCAATTGTTTCATTTTTTAACCTCTCAGGATTTGGCCAAGGCTTTTGCCATCCAGTGTGTGGTGTTCAACTGCTCTGATCAGCTTGACTTCATGGCTATGGGCAAGTTCTTCAAAGGTTTGGCAAGGTAATACTTCATGGTGTAATTTATTAGAAGTAAATACTCTTACTTACATTTTCTATTGTTCCTTATAGGGAAGTTTGGTTTTCAAAAGCAAGTACAATTCAAACTTATTATTATAATGATTTTTTTCAGTTGCATAATAAACAGTGTTACACAAATATAGGTAAACTTGTTGGTCAACCCTGAACATTTTTGTGCTTCCGTTATAATGTTTTGTTCAAAGACTCTTTGTTGTCAGCACTCAAGTAACTGCTGTGTCAACAATGTTTGCTAACCACTTACCCATTTTCCCCCCTTCATTCTTCTTTCCCCTTACCTCCCAATCAACCTAGAACAGAATCCAAGATCTGAGACATCAGACTGTTGCTTCATGAGCACTTTGTGAGATGTTGATGTTGCCAGATATTGCATACAAAGCATGTAACTCCCTATCAATTGTTCTTCACCGTATGTGTGTACTTGAATATATAGAGATCACCACCAGGGATGATTAAGATGGGTTTTTTTTTTAAAAGGAGATGTAAAATCTTTTTAAATTTTCAATCATCTACTAAAACAACATTCTTTTATGTCTTTGTTTTCTCAGAATGGTCAGAAATGTCTTATGTATTGAATGTACCATTTTTTTAAAAAGTGTTTTTTTTTAAATTCATTTTTCCATTCTTCTCCCTAGCTCTGGTGCCTGGGCCTGTTTTGATGAGTTCAACCGCATCGACATTGAGGTCTTGTCTGTGGTGGCCCAGCAGATCACAACTATTCAGAAGGCCCAAGCTGACAGGGTAAGGTTACCCCTATGGACCTGAGCATATGCCTGAATGTGCCTTCTTTTCCTCCTTCTGTGTGCACCTCAGTGTGAAGTAGTGTAGTGTTGACTCATGGGAGCTCAGGTGCATTTAAGCTCTGAGATCCAGTGCTCAAAGGGTTAAGGTTTGTAAGAATGATTAGCTAATTCTCCTGAAACCGTTTAATGTCTTATTTTGCTCACAAATAGCCTTATGAATGAGCCAGACTCTAACCTTACAATTAATTACATGGAGGAATATGATTATAGTTTTAATAACTTTATACGGTAAAGACAAAATAGGCTGGGTTTTTTTTTCCTATTAAAATTTTCCAGACTCTGCTATCAGTACATGGTGAGAACTTAAGCAATATTGTGGCAGTGGTACCAAGTGGACCCCTGCCAATCCCTGGTTAAAATGTGGGGTACTGAAGGTGTCATGCCTCCTGCTTATTCCTTTTTAGCTGCATTTTTTCTCTATCCAGTACTATGAGAAGGACTTATCTTTTATTAAATGGAAAAAGAAAAAAAACATTTTGAAAGCATAGTAGAGTCTGGCCTTCATCAATATCAGGATTTAAAATGAAAACCAACCTTATTAAAACTATAACACAAATTGTTTCAACATGAATAGACGCCTCTTCGTTTTTATTTGCTCAGATGGACCGCTTCATTTTTGAGGGTGTGGAGCTTGTGCTGAAGGCGTCCTGTGCTGTCTTCATCACCATGAACCCTGGCTATGCTGGCCGCACAGAGCTGCCGGACAATCTCAAGGTGATCTAAAAAAATCATGTTTGATTTATTGTGCTTTAAAAATGTTTTAGTGAGAGTTTTATGGCACTTGCAACACAAATAGGTTGTTATAAGTGCCAAAAATTAGAGGTGTTACTACAGAGTAACCAACAAAGAAAAGAAGGAGGAGAGATAAGAACGACAGATGTTTAATAGGAAAGAAGGAGCTAACTACACTACAGCACCTGCCAATCACTCACATGTTATTTTTGGACGGGTTATGTGAAAAATAATATAATTAATTTATGTACTGGCTGTGTGTTGGGTCATATCTGCTTTTAAGCTTTATGGTTCATCATACTCTTCAAGTATCCTTTATAGATTAACATTACTGGCATACATGGTTGGCGAGTGCTCTAGTGTTGTTTGCTCTTTTTTTCCTATCAAATATCTATTGCCCTTGTCTGTACTCCTTCTTCTCTTTGTATGTTATTCTCCAGTAATACATCTCTAATCTTTGGCACTTATAATAATGGCCTTTGGGTGTTGCAAGTGCCATAAAACTGTTACTAAAACTAAACTAAACTAAAGCATAACTTTGTCATTCCACATTGTATATTATATGCTTCCATATATAAATGAAACTGTTTTCGTCACGTGAGACATTGTATATTTATATCAATTGACTACAAAAACCACCTTCAGCAGCTGGCCCCACAGTACAAAAACATTTTGTTTCAGTGACTAATTATTATTTTATTAGAATTTCATGCCGATAACTACCTCCCGCTTTTGGGCATAATTTTTAAAAGCTCTTTTAAGCTTGATTAAGCCTCAATTTTGTGTTTTCTTTCCAGGCCTTGTTCCGTCCAGTGGCTATGATGGTGCCAGATTATGCCTTGATTGCTGAGATCAGTTTGTTTTCATTTGGCTTCTCTGATGCTAAGCACCTGGCCAAGAAGATTGTCACAACTTTCAAGCTATCCTCAGAACAGCTCAGCTCACAGGTACAAAAATGACTTACTCATTCTCTTACATGTCTTGAGACAATAATCTCTGTACACAATACGGGGTTGTACACTCCTTTCAAATTTTATATTTTATCTGTTTAATTTTTCTGTGAATTATTTGAATTCACAAACTGAGTTACCCAGTGTCACGTATGTATTTGGGTTCCAGTGCAGTAGCACCTCTTTGAATATTTGTCAAATGATTCGATAAAAATAAAACAGAAATCTGGTTCGCAGTTGTTTTATTTGTATTCCATTACAAGATGGAACTGAAGTTTTGTTGATTTTTAAAAAGAAATTTAACTTAATCAAAGAATGGGACCCTTCCTCTTCCGCTCTTTCATTCTCTGCCTGCCTGTCTGCCTGCCTGCCCCTCTCTTTCTCTCTCTCTCTCTCCCTCTCACTCTCTCTCACTCTCTTTCTTTCTCTCCTAACTCACTCACCCCCTCTCTCTCTCTCTCTCTCTCTCTCTCTCTCTCTCTCTCTCTCTCTCTCTCTCTCTCTCTCTCTCTCTCTCTCTCTCTCTGTCTATCTTTTTCTCTCTCTTGCTCTCACTCCCTCTCTCTTTTTCTCTCACTTTTTCTTTTCATTCTCTCTTCTCATTCACCAGTAGGTGTGATGTATTGATACTTACATTTCATGTCAATGTCATTCCATTTTGTTAGTTTGACCATTTTGCTTTACCCTTTGATTACTTATTGCAATGTCTTGTTCAGATAAGGCCTTTACATATTTGATGTCTATAGTATTTTACTTTGACACTTATTAAAACTGTCCTTTGATTCTGCAGGACCATTATGACTTTGGCATGCGTGCTGTGAAGTCTGTCATCTCAGCTGCAGGCAACCTCAAGAGGATGTACCCGGATATGGTGGAGGTGTGTCTTTTTTAGCTTTTAACATTAGAATCCTGTTGTAATATTCTTATTTCCACTTGCAATCTGCCTATGAAATACATGACTGAAATATTTTTGAGAAAGAAAATACTTTGTGTTAATGGAAACTTGTAAGAAGATATTCATTTAATTTTAGTGTTTTGTTAAATTTTGGCACCTTGTCATAGTGAAGTTGTTTGAATATTATACTATGATTATGAATAAAGGTCTTTTTAGATTACTTTCTGTGCTCTCAGCTGTTAACATAAGCTTATGCAGTCACATCCTTGTGTGCTAATGTCCTGGTAGAATTAACAATTTTAACTTATCACTATGCATGTGGCATTTGTAATGAAAAAATGACTTTAAAAACTTTTTACATATGTGTCACGACGGGGTAGAATCAGGCGCTCATCCATTTTTGGTCATATGGAGTTATTGGTATTATCTAAAAGCTTATTCATTTGCCGTACTTTCAATGAAAAAAATACCCATCTATCTTGAATAGAAGCTGAGATATTTGTCACTGAAGGAGGTGGGGTCGCCTGGTTTCTGTGGTAAAATAAGTGAGAAAATGGCCGCCAAAGTTCGGTAACTTCAATAGCTTGAGAGTCCTTGAAAACTGATAAATTACATATTTTGTGCCTTATATCAATGTTTTATAGTCAAATTCGCTCGGAAATCTGTTTTAGATGGACATAAAAGGTCTTGAGCCAAAAAACAGAAATTCAATAAAAATTGCCAAACTGGAGGAAAAAATGCTTGTTTCTTCGATTTCATTATTGTGACAAGCGCCTGATTTCACCACGATGCTTCACTTATCCTAATACGTTTAAACGATTTCTCAGCGATTGCTCAAGACTCATTTGTTTAATTCTTAGTTGTAGTGTTTTAGTAGGTGCTGATATGTCTTGTTTTTCACTGCTTTCCCTACGTGTCTTTAACTAATGTTTGGTTGAGAAAGTTCTTCTGTATGTAGTTGAACTGGTTTTCTTGTTGATGTAAATGTTTTTATATTGTGCGAATGAAGTATAATGCTTAGTGATCATGTCTTCGATGTAAAGCACCCATAATGTAAACTTGTAACAGATAGAGTGCTATATAAATGCAATCTGTTATTATTATTGCTATTATTGTTATTATTTGTTTATACTTATAATGTTAGATTTGACTTGAGATATTCTGGTTTTTACTTTGCCTCTCTGTGCTGTAGTGTGAATATTGTTGGAGATCTGTTAGGTTATCAAGGTTGCCACAAAGACTGTATTGAATGGAAAAATTTGATGCAAGTTTCAGTAAAGTCATAAACATTCTGTTTTAGTAAGAATTTTACGACACTTACTACACATTTAGGTCATATAAGTGCCGTAGCTTAAAGATGTTACAAGAGAGTAACGTTCAAGAAAAAAAAAGGAGGAGAGATAAAAATGGCAGATTTAGATACATAAAAGAAGGTGAAATTCCAAAAAATTTTCTGTCTGTTTCAGGAACTGATCGCACTTCGTGCTATTCGAGACGTGAACGTACCCAAATTTCTGGTGGATGACCTGAAGTTGTTCAGTGGTATTGTCTCTGATCTGTTCCCCAACATCAAGTGAGTTCAGGAGAACTGATAAGTCTTAATTTTTACTTCCCCATTGATACAATTTGATCCTTAAGTAGGCAGACTTCTGACCCTGCCTGTCAGGGCAAACCTGGGTTGAGAGGGATACAACATCCTGACAGAAAGATGGAGATACTTGATAGAAATTCCGTCCCACTCAGAAATTGAACTTGAGTCTCCTGTGTGTGATGGCCGAGTGCTTAACCAGTACACCACAGAGGCAGGCTTGATGTGGATAAAAAATTACAATACTTCTACTAAGTAAATGTCACCATATCAGAGACTTGGGCTACATTTAGTAGTAGTTGTTGATTTATGAAAAAAATGAAGGTTTGACTCAGGGATGGGGTAGAGGGTTGCCCTCCTTGTGACTCAGTAGAGTAGAGGGCGGTAGGATTGTTACTAACACGAACAAGTTATTGTAGTCAGAAAACCAGTTGCATGATTGTTAACTACGTTATTGAATAGCCTTCCAATTCTCAATTTTTAAAAACACATCAAATCCATCCAAAACCCACAAAAAAACTTCTTTCAAAACTGTCAGAAGCTGGTAAACAAATCAAGCTCACCCTGTTGCTTTTATTAGACTTTGAATTTGTGATTTCCTCAAGCCAATGGGCCTTGTAGGTTATCAATCACTGCAAATTTGTAACTACCCTCTTCCTTTCTTGCTCAATTAGGGAAGAACCCATTGACTATGGAGATCTGGAGACATCTCTGAGGAAGTCTTGTCAAAAAACTGGGCTCAAAGATGTGGATGGTGAGCGAAACATTAGTGTTCATATGTGGTCTGCTTATTGTACTTCTTTTAAATGATTCTGTTCTTTCTAATCTGCAGATTTAGGGGGATGGGGGGATGGTTGGAGAAGCCACTGGTAGTTTTCTTCTTTCCCTGTGATGTTCCTGTCTATTTGCTTGCCTTTTCCCAGCCCTTAATGGCAGTTATTGTGTTGTGTTTCTTTTATCTCAAACAAACAATGCAAATGTATTTCTTAGGAAAATGAGGATGTTTTGTGGAAGGTAACTTAAAAATTATATTATAATCCCTTTCTGCACATATTGTGAGTGAACTGTGACAAGCTAGTACAAATGCTGTTGTGTACTCTATTTTATTGTGGATCTATTTTGTGTGTGTGTGTGTTTGTGTGTGTGTGTGTCTGTGTGTGTGTGTGTGTGTGTGTGTGTGAGTGTGTGTATTCGTGCCCTTGCGCGTGCATGGTTGTAAATGACTTTGTAGTGTTTATATCTTAAAAGCAATTTTTCTGTCTTTTTTTTCCTCACGGAATGTTCGAAATTTTATCTTTCCAGTACCTATTTGTTAAATAGATTTTTAAAAAAAATCCATGTTGAAAGGGTATCTATGCTTGTATTTAATGTGAACTTTTATGATGAACTGAAAATCTGTTCTCTTTGTTCGTTGAAGGTTTCATCAACAAGTGTATCCAGCTGTTTGAAACTACTGTTGTCCGTCATGGCCTTATGTTGGTGGGTCCAACATGCTCTGGAAAAACCAAGGTAATTCTTGTTTACTTTTGAACTTTTTGTGCACCTTCTTCCTCTTCTTTACTCACATGTTTGTTTTATATATCTTTATCAAAAATGCTATAATACATTAAATGGAATACTCAGCTTCGAACTGTTGTGTATAATAATGTTATTTAAATATTCTGACTAATTTAACCCTTTGGTGACGCAGGGTCCGTTTATGTTTCACTGGGCACAGTTTGAGATCCCCAGGGACAAAAAGTAGCTTTAGATTTGGTGGTCAGTTGCCTATAATTAGACCCAGTTTGTAAATACTATGAAATATCTCTAAAAGAAAAAGATTTCTTTGAGCGGAAAAATGTCATTGTGTGTGAATCTGTGATTAGTTTTACGAAATGCGTCTAATAGAAGAAGTATGCAGGATACAACCTATGACAATTGGCATTCGTCATCATGGTCCTAACTCTTCGCAAAGCATGAAGAACGCCGTATGTCACACCAGCATCTTAGCTCCTTCGTTGTATAAGAAAAGAACGACGTACGGCTACCTCTTATAGGACACAAAGGGACTTAAGAACCCTTGGTTATTTGCAAAACGCTTGTGTACAAGTCTGATATGTGTATGCTGTGTGAATGTTAATACCTTTTCTCTCCTACTTCCTTCAGTGTTATGAAATGCTGCAGAAAGCTCAGACATCTCTCAAGGGTCAACCCTCCCCTGCCATGACAGATTTCCAAGCCACTCACACCTACGTGCTCAACCCAAAGTCCATCACCATGGGTCAGCTGTACGGTGAATTTGATCTGCTCACTCATGAGTGGTAAGCATTGGTCTTTTTTTTTTTTTTGAATTGTTCCAAGTCAGGTTTTTGTGCTGAATGTTTGTAAGTTATGTAGAAAATCTGTCAACAAGGTAGTAGTAATTGTTATGCATTTAAAAAAATAATAAATTCAGGAAAATTGTTTAGAAATGGATGATAAAGATGATGATGAGGAGGAGGGGGAAATGTTGAAAATGATGTGCAGGATTGATCTTGATATTAGTTAGTTCTTCTTTTGATGCCTGCACTAGATCTCCTCAGGCTGATTTTAGCATTTAGATATTTAAATCATAAAAAAACCCTGCACATATCAGTGATAGGTAAAGGTCAGAATTTAATAGATTAAAAAAAAAATCAAAGCAGAAAAATGAGTGGCGAACTGTAATTGCCGATGTTTGTTTCAGACCTGGCACTGAAAGGGGAAGAAGATCATTCACTCATTAAGCATTAATACTCATCCTGGTTTTTGTGCTGGAATCATAGACAGTCTTAAACATTGCTTCTTGGCCTTTTGGCTAAGATCAAAGTGTAGTATCTGTTCCCGACTTATCAACCTTGTGCTTGAGTACAAAGCAGGACAAATACTGCAAAAGCTGATGAGGCACAGGCACAGAGAAATCTGTGCTTTGATTATCTCTAGTGAATGGTATCCGTCCTGTTAAAGAAAAAAAAAAGGAAAAAAAAGGACAGTCTTAGACAAATCACCCTTTGAGTTGGAGGGGACTGCTAGTTGATCCGACTTATTTTTATCTTTTTTCCATTGTTTCTGCCTGTCTGTCTGTCTGTCTCTTTCCAGCTCAATGGTCTTTATATCCTTATTGTCAGTAGCTCTTATATTGCCACCATTACATATTATCAGCAAGCTGTTTAAATATACAATGCCCAGAAGCAACATTTTTCAGGAGAGAGAAAAAAAACTTTTTAAAAAATCAATTAAAACTACATTATGCATCTTTTCTTGCTTTATTCAATATTTAGATTTTCAATTTTGACAAAATATTTCTGGAGCACATAGGCCTACACCACAGATTAAGAAACTGCGTAAAAATTTAAAAAATTTAAGCTTAATTTTTCTGAAGAGCTGGTCAACAATATGCATATTTCTCAGCTGAATCAAAACTAATCCTTATAATTTGGTTATTATCGTGCAGGACTGACGGTATCTTGTCCACCCTGATCCGTGTGGGAGCATCATCCCAGGATGAGGACAAAAGGTGGTTTGTCTTTGACGGTCCGGTGGATGCTGTGTGGATTGAAAACATGAATACTGTCCTGGACGACAACAAGAAACTCTGCCTCAGCAGTGGAGAGATCATCAAACTGACTGACGTGTGTACTACGGCACATTTATGTTACGTCTCTTTTTTTTTGGTGTTCACCTTCCTTTCTTTATTTTCAGCCTTAAAAAAAAAAATTCTCTACGTACGCTTTCTGGTAATTAGGAGAGATCAAATTTTTAAATTCATTTTAAAGTCAGCTCAAGTAATTTTTGTTTGTTAATAGATTCAATAAATAAATAAAGAGAATGTTAGTTGTAACACATTGTATTATCTATTTGTAACTACCTGTATTTGTAAAGAGCTCACACTCTGTGATCGTTTAATTGTGGTAGAGCGCTATATAAATGTCACATTATA